AATGAAGGATATCCAATATTTTCATAAAGCATTCTCCTGTTTTAACATGCAAAACTATCCAGCCCCAGGGGAACGAATAGTTACGGGGAGAATTTGAGGTATCAAAGTGTATCTGCAGCAGATACACTTTGGAAGAAGAGCTCTTCCTCTCAGCTCATCTAGTGGGAAGACAGCTGGTCTACCTATACGTAAAGTAGACTTTGGTTGGGTTTATACCAAGATGCTCACAGAAAGGAAAAAAAAAAGAAGCTGAGCTTCACCATCACTCAAATACAGGTGAAGATGCCAGTGTGCCAGTGTCAGAGCCAAAGGGAGATATTGCAACTGCAGGAGGGTGTTTAGAAAGCCACGGCCCAGACAACCAGCCATCAGGAGGTCCGGCGTACCCAAGGACTGCTTTCACAGACGCGGGCTCTCAACACAGCATATGCTGATCTCGGATTTATGTTTAACAGAAGCAAAGGAAAGAGTAAAGGGATCTCTCTTACGTATGTTTTCCCCTCTCAAATAATTATTTCAAGTAGGCCTCTCAGAAGGAAGATATAAAAATACATACTTTAATACATTTTAAAAATGCACAAAGAAAGATATTAGCAAACCAAAAAGAACGGTGTGCCTATTCACTACTCTAATAATATCTTACTATACTCCAGACATTTATGAGTCTTTTAAAATTTCTTTGCTAATGATATAAGGCCTTTCAAACTAGCTCCAGTAGCAACAGATGGGTTTCAAGGTCAGCTTAGCTTGTTTCTGTTCCCTGGGGAGTCTTCTGGCGTTCTCTCTGCAGACAGACCCAGGCTTCAGGGCCCACCTCGGCTCTGCGGAGTCCTTGCCCCAGCCCCTCTTACTCCAGCTGCACTGATCTCCACCCTACTCAGACGGGTTACCTTGTCCACAGCTTATATGCCACAGAGTTTGGCCATTTATTTATAAACTGCCTCACGTTCTTGCTAAAGTACATTGTATGTGTGATTCCTATTTTTTCCCATGAGACTAAATCCCCTGAGTGCTAAAACTATCTTATACTTGTTATATCATCCCTCCTGCCAACACCTGGGGTCTAGAACAGCAGCGATACAAAGTAGTGCACAATACATTTTATGAAACTGAAGGGAAGGTTCCCATGCTACATGTTAACTAATAAGAGGAGACACTGCTGTCTTCCAAGTACACCTTCCTCAAAAGAGAGTGAAGTTGTATGCTTGTAACTTACACAAACTTTATTCCAGTGGGGAATATGGGATGACTAACAATAACAACAACCAACATTTATCAAGTGTTTTACTAAATGCTAGCACTGTGCTAAGTGGACCCCAAGCTATAGACATGACTAAAACAGACATTCTGTAACCCGGAAGAACTTCCTATACCTGTTCCCCAATTCAGCCTGGATGACCAATGTGTGGCCAGGTTGGATTTTGTTACAAGAGCTGGAAGGAAGCATTTGAGTCCCCATCACCCAAAGAGGCAAGTGAACACCAGCCTGCTGGGTGACTTCTGTTCAGAACACAAAGGTAGGGCTCCAGTTAATGACCAGGAAAGGCGTGTACATGCAAGGAATCTACATTTGATTGAATTCAACTGCTCATCCTGGAATTAATCAAAGGTCCTCTTTACAGGTCAGAAAGGATTTCATAGCACTACAGCTTTTGTTTTTCTTCTTAAACCACAGGAATTACTGAAGAAGGTCCATAGACTACTGATACTAAATGATTTTAAATCTCATAGAAACAAATAAGCAAGCAAACAGTTCTCTGAGTAGAGAACAGAGTGTTCAAAACAGAAATCTCTCTCCCTTCCTGGGTCCAGGACATCTGTTATCTGCTGCAAGCTGTATTAGAATTGATATTATCTGACTTTGCATTAATCATTTTAATCTTTATTTATTATGTAGCACATTGCCAAAACAAAACTCTATAAATTTCAGCTCTACCACAGAGGAAGGAATGATAGGTCCATTTAAAAGAGACTACATTCAATTTTTAGTTGAAAAAATCTAAAGCACAAATCTTTCATTACTAAGAAATATTACATTAACATAACTATTTCAGACAAATGACTTTAGAGACACAGGAAGAAATGTCAAAAATTAAACTTTTTTTTTTTAAATACTCACCAGAGGATATGTTTATTGATCTGAGACAGAGAGGAAGGGAAGGAGGAGAGTGAGAGAGAAAGACAAACAGAGAGACAGGCAGAAAGACAAACATTGACCAGTTGCCTCCAATATGCACCCTGACTGGGAATTGAACCCACATCCTTTTGGTGTACGGGATGATGATCCAACCAACTAAGCCTCTTGGCCAGGGCTGAAGTGCCTCTTCAGACGGTTGAGCTGGCCAAAAGTTGCTCCATAGGCATCTTGGTACTTAGAACAACAAGCTTAACAAAATGACACTAGGCTTGTGGTTCTGTGAATCACAATAGAAATAGACATAATAAAAAGATGATTCTTACAGAGCTTTTTAGTTTATCAATAGCCTTCACACCTGTCATGGCATTCAGTCTTTCATGAGGAACCCTGTGAAGTAAATAAGGTTATTCTCATTTTCCAGATAAGAATCTGAGGTCTAAGGAGATTAAACGACATGCCGGTAAGGTAATCAGAGTTAAAGCTATCAACCTGCACTGCAGAACTTCAGTGTGCCAGGCACTGTGCAAAGCACTTCACACTAGGACTTCTATATTCCTTGCAACAATCCTTTCTCACTGAACACTGACATTCAGAGAGTTCTGTAATTTCCCCAAGTTCACAAAGCTGGTGAAGCGGTCTGATGTAGTCTATGTTTCCCTGTTTCTCAGATAAGAAGTGCAGTGCAAGGATTTAAAACACAAAACTTCTGACCTCTTCGATGAAGCATACCTTGACCATCACTCTCGCCAAACTTATGAGTGAAATTTCTTTACCATAATCTGTTATTGCATTCTTTTATTGTATTATATTCGTTAATCATTTTAATTTCACTTTCCCTCAGTCCCTGAAAACAAAACAGACCATATTTTACATTTATAACTATAGTTATTTGCTCTTGTTTGTAAACTACTAGGCACAACACATGCTTGGTGAGGGAACAAATGAATAAACAATATCCAGTGTTTTCTTATCATGTGTCTGAAAATTACAAAGCATGCTATATATTTATTGTAGGCAATTTAAAAAGTTACTCTAAAATATCATTTCTGGTACAAATGCGTTTAAAAAAATCTGTGGCAAGAACAGAAAAATTATAAATATGGTCACAGCTCTTATTAGGTAAGATAGGTCAAATCGTGGTAATACAATATTTTCTTAACATTCATGTGCAAACTTTTAAAAGTTACATAAAAGACAGCTTCAGTTAAATGAGTCTATATGATCTTCTCTGCTCATAATGTACCATCTATATTCTTCAAATCCAACCCAAATTCTTCCCTGTGACATTTATGCTTCCTTAATCTCAGCTGAAAGTGTCTGTCTTTTAACTTATGAAGAGGGTGCTGGGCTCACTGTTAATAATCAAGCGGCAGTGAAATTAGATTCCACAGGGGCTGTAAAATGTAAAGATGTCTGTATCCTCAGCTTCTTTACTATGACATTTTTTGTCATTGTCCTCTCTCTCCACTTCCTAAAGTTTCTGAATGCATTTCTCTGTCACCATATTACCCGGAGCTCTTTGTTATAGGACAACAGTGAATCAGGAGGGACTTCCTAACTCAGCTCAGGGGTTCTTGGTTTGCAGGAGCAGTTTTCCCTACTTAATGGGGCTCTGACAAGTTGGGCTAGATGCCCAATCTCTGAGGGTTCTCCTTCAAGTTCAAGCAGGCCCCCATCAGACACTGAGAGCTGATGCCCACTCTTTCTCTTACAACGAAATGCAATTCAAATCCTGACTCAACACTGTTAGAATGCTAAACTCTGCTTAACAAAATGACTGACTCATACACAGTTAGAGAAAATCAATAGTTTCCAAAATATTTGGTGTTCTCTTCAAATTATGTTAATGAGAACCTCGTATTTATAAAATGCTTGGGGCCAGCTGTATGCTTCTACTTTAACAAACATAGGCAGGAGAAATAACGATCAATGCCATCAGCAGTTTGTGGGAAACCTGAGCGTGTCCACACCAACAAACATCAACCTACCCTAACATCTGACCACTCTCAACTCACTTGCCCAGGGTGAGAGAGCAGTAGCACCATTTTATTTACATTCTTCTAAATTTCAAATAAGTAAAACTTTATCGTTCACAACTCTCACGGCGTGTTTTACTCCCTTGTTAATGTCTAGAAGAGGCAAATCACAAGAAAGCAATAAACTGAGAGTTAATCTACAAAGCATTTTTCCAGTGTATGTACTTGTCTCAGATTGCATTCAACCCAACTCTACACTGGCCTTTTCTGATCCTTATTCAAGAAATTAAGTTTTCATTATAATCTCTAGAAATTTTTTTGAGCAAAATACCAGAAAATAAAAATTATGTATACTTTATGTAAAGATTGAGATATCAGAAGTTCTTCTAAACATTGACACTTCATTGATGGGTAGGTAGAGGAATCATAGAAATTTGGGGGCTCAAAGTAAAAGCTTTAAGAAGAGTATTTACAGCAAGCTGGACTGAGACCCAGCAAGGGAGAAACCGTGAGAAGGGGGTGTGTCACAAAACCAGCTCACCCATAGACAGGCTACTCTCTCCCAAGAAACAGAAAGGCAGCAGTTGGCCCTTTGAGTATCCTGGGTGACCACTGTTTGTTATTTTGAGTAATGCAAATCTAAGGCTTTCTATGAAAGCCTCTACTTTTTATTGGGTGACTGCATCTTTGTATTAGTTGAAATTAAAGCATACCGACCAGACAAGTAGAACGCTCAGCTTTTCAGAAACTACCCCTAGAAAGGAGGACACTGTTCTCCACACAATACAATAAATAAGGGGATAAATACAATATGTAAGCAAGGGTCAGGCTGATGGATTTAACAGCTGGACTACCAATTTTAAAAAGTCATATGAGCATTCCCTTACCTGTTTTGATATTGATGGCAAAAAAATTCTGAGGATTCCCACTTGTAATCCTGTATGTCAGTTTTTCATTGGAACTAGAGTCAGGATCCTCAGCCTGGATCTGAATGACAGACACATCCTTTGGAGAGTTTTCCATGACAACTGGATAATAAATAGGCTCCGAGGTCAGCGGTGCATTGTCATTCACATCCTCAATTTCAATGTAGACCTCAATAGTGGAATAGAGTGGAACAACGCCCCGATCTGTGGCATACACTGTCAGCCAGTAGGACCCTGTTGTCTCTCGATCAAGAATGTCTGCAGTAGAAATGACTCCTAAGAGAAAACAGAGGGAGAATGATTGCTACTGTGAAACTGAAAGACATTATGTAAATCATCCCGAATTCAGGAGGGCTGTGCTAAGTAATCTTGGCATATTAAAAAAATCCATGATATGAAATTACATTAAGATGTTTCTCCTTACGTAAAAAAACAACTATTTTTTTGTAAAACCATATTAAATAGTACTCCTACCATTTGAGAATTATAATTAGATTCACAAATACTTTGAATTGTAGGGACAGGCAGAATCTCAATACATCAATACACAATACGGAAAAGATAATAGGAAGCAACGAGAAGAGAGTAGGGCAGAGGTCAAAACACTTCCCATGTTGCAGGGGAAATTAGAGCAATATCAGGTCAATATCTCCATTTGACCTGATATTGAATTGATTTCCTTTGCAACAGAAAGCTCTCTCAGGGTGAATTATTTCATGTGTTCATTCACAAAACTAAAAAAGGCCTTTCAAATATTCTTCTGCCTGTTAGGATAAAAACTACTTGGCATGCAAAGATGTAAGCCTTTTTCATACTGCTTCCCCTAACATCAAATGCCACAGTTATTCCAAACAATCAGCAAGGAAGCCATACCAACACACTTTCTGAATAAGCACTGTCCCCTTGAAGAACTCTACAGAGAGCCGTAAATAAACTCAGAGTTACTTTGAGAGATACTCACGGACAATCATCCAGCATTAGGAGCAGAAAAATGCCCCATCTTTTCCCTCCCACCTTTCTCATTTTATGGTGGAAACACGTGCCAACCAGGAAATCAGACGTCTGCCGGAAGAGACAGAGGAGATACAGTGCTCTTCAGGGTCTTTACAGCCCTCACCCAGTCGCCAGGCTGCAGACACTTAACTACAGAAATAGGAACATACGCGTGTCCACTGTGATGGGGAACTCTGGGCTCAGCTGAGAAAAACTCTAAAGCAGTCAGTATTTTCAAGGAACGCATGGGATTCATGTTATACCCTAAAAGACACCCATGGAAGGAGTCAGAAACAGTCCTTCAGTTCTGACCTGGGTCCTCTATCTTCTGTATTCCCAACGCACCTTGGAATATATTAGGCACACGATTTGCCCCACAGACCCTGCATAAGCAAATTGCCAAGTACAGCAACTAAGAGGGAGGAGGGCATCTGCCCAGAAATAATTAGGCTGAAATACTCATTTGCCTAAAACTCAGAGCAGCTAAACTCTTCAAAGGAAATAATCCATCTGATGTTGACATTGCAGCTCCAAAGCTGTCCACCAAAGAGCCTGCACCGTGTTATGCCATGGGACAAAAGATAACATTAAATATTCTCAGTGGAAATATGTAAAACACAATGGGTTCCTATAGATTTATGGATGGCACCTAAAAGTCAGAAATGCTAACATGGCATTAGAAGAGTAGATTCTAGATATTAGATAAAGAAGAAAAACAGGAGAATAAAAAAATAATGATTGCAAACATGAGGCTACGTGCCCACTGATAGAATGAATAATAGGCAGCCATATAAACTAAGCCAAGGCAGGGTGGAATGCCAGCATGACATTAAGGTCCAAGAGAGCCGGCCAGGTGTGAGAACATCTGCAAGTACAGGGCACAGATCCATCAGAAAACCACGGCTAGCTTAGTGGAATGCTTGCAGCAGTGAGAGCCACGTGCCTCCATGCAGACATGGGCTGTGCTACTACCCGGGAACCTGGAGCTTTTCAAGTCAGAGGATGGTCAAGTGATGGGGAATAAACTTGACTCTGAACTGAAGACAAAGAGTAGGTAGGCAGGGTCTAGGGTGCAGGACATGGTTTGCAAAAAATGCTCTAAAGGCACTGGAAAGGACCTCTTGAATGAGAGCTGTCCATTTAACTTATGAGCATCTAGTGTACCCTGTGCTGGACACCTCAGGAACAGAAGTGAGAGAGGATCTCTGTTTTCAAGAGACTCACAGTCTTTGTGACTAGACAGATCTTGAATGAGATCTGCACTGAGTGGTTAACTGCACAGCTAACAGCCAAGAGGACCCAGCCTCATGTGGCTGAGATTGATACAGTGGGAAGGCAAAGCACCTAGAACTAGAAGGGATTGGGAGGCAAATGAAATAGCATTTACTGAGCATCTATGATGTGCTATGAGACTTGCAACACAACTTCCCTATAATGTGTATTTTATAATTCTCTCTTACAGATGAGGGCATCATGTATGCTAAGAATTTGGCAGAATGCTTCCAATATAGTAGCTGCTGAGTATAAGATAAATCAATATGAATCAAAAGTAATACCGAAAGCCTTGTAAGTAGTAACCACACGTCAAAGCAAGGGGTAATCTTCAGGGGAGAGAAGTCTGGGATAGACTATCATGTTTGATATTTATTCCTTCTCTGGTCATGGGGCATTCTTGCACAGTCTTTGCAACTTGCCCATGACATACCCTTTCATAAAAATATGCTTGAGGAACAGAATAGTAAGGCCAACAAAAGGAGGACATAACTCAGTAAGCAACAGCATCAAAGAAGTTGGTAGTGTTTGTACCTTTGCACCTTGATCCACCCACCCCACATGCATTCACATGCACACAGGTTTGCAGTCACAGAATTGCTTTGGGATCCCTGGAAGTCACTTTATTCTCTTTTCTTACACCAATTAGACTGGGAGATGGTCTATTACAGACTTTGGACATTAAATGATTTTGGGAAGTCCTTGGATGAAAGGTTTCCACTAATGCATATTAAATTATATGGGTGTAATTTTACTGTATTTTTAAACAATGGATCAGAAATGTCCTCTAGAAATCAGAATTTTCTTATTAAGATAAACTATGTCTATGACTATATTTCTACACATTAACTAGAAGTGTGAAAGCGTATTGTGGAACAACAGTATTCAGGCATCAGTCTCATGATCCAAAAACTTGAGGACAAATTTAAAAGAGTGCCTGAAATGTGTTAACAGTCATTTTAAGATTCACCTAAGGCTAGTCCATATTAACCATATTACTACAATCAATATCCAGTGAAAGTACTTCCTCACTTTCTTCTCTGCTCTTACTGGTCACAAATGAAATCGTAAATTCACATTACCTTTACCATGAAGCAAAAACTCAATTTCAAAGTTGCCCAAGTGTTGTCAGAATCATATCATGAGCCCTTAGGTTTGTAACAACCATCATGCATTCTTTATTACTTATTTAATTGAGGCAAAATTGACATACAATAAACTATACCTGTTTAAACAATTTGGTAGGTTCTGATACCTGTGAAACCATTAACACAATCAAGATAACAAACATTACCATTATCCTTAAAAGTACCCTCCTTCTCATTTTTAATCCCAATAATAAAAGTTCCCAATTCTCCCTACTGCCAGGTATCAGATTAGCTTCCTGTCACCACACTAATTTTCACATTCTACAATTTTATAGAAAGAGAATCATACTGATGTACTCTTTTTGTTTGGCTTCTTTCAGTCAGAATAGTTATTTTGAGATTCACACACATTGTATATAACAATGCATCATCCCTTTTCCATTTTATTTCTAAGAAGTAGGCCATTGTATGAATATAGCACAATTTTTAAAAAAAATATTGATTAGTTCAGGGACATTTAGGTTGCTTTCAGTTTTTAGATGTTACAAATAAAGCTTCATGAATGTTTATACACAAGTATTCTATGGAAATACTTTCATTACTCTTGAGTACCTGGGAGTAGAATGGCTGTATCACATGGCAGGTCTATGTCTGTACCATTTTACTTTCCCACTAGCAGTAAATGTGGAGCGTTCCCGTTGTTCCACATTCTCACTTGTGACATGGCCTTAACTTTAGACATTCTACTGGGTATGTAGAGGCATCTTGAAGTTTTAATTTGCATCTTCCTGATAGTATTGAACATCTTTAAAAGTACTTATTACCACTGCATATCTTATTTGGTTAAATATTCACATTGTTTATCTACTTTTAAAATTGGGTTGTTTTCTTTTTAAGTTTTGGAAGTTCTTTATATATGTGGATAAAACTCCTTTTTCAGATAAGTGACTTGCAGATATATTCCTCCAGTATGTGACTTGTTTTTCATTCTCTTAATAATATCTTTTGGAGGACAGAAACTTTTAATTCTGATAATATGCAAGTTATTAATTTTTCTTTTGATGTCAGAGGAAAGAGGGAGAAGGGTGGAAAGGAGGGGAAGGGAGTAGTCAAAGAACATGTCTGAGTGACCCATGGACATGGACCACAGAGTGGGGATGGGCTGTGGGGGGTCAGGGTGGGCTTGGCAGAGGAGGGCAAAGGGGAAAAAATTAGGACAACTATAACAGAATAAACAAGAATAGAATAAAATTTAAAACAATCTCTACCTAATTCAAGGTCACAAAGGTTTTCTCCTACATTTTCTCCTAGAATTTAATAATCTTAGGTTTTATATTTATATCTGTGATCAATTTTGAGTTAATGTTTGCATATAGTTCAAGGTATGGGTCTAAGTTTTTTTTGTATGTAGATATTCATTGTTCCACCCCCGCTTGTTGAAAAGACTACCTTTCTTGTCTGAATTGCCTTTGTATTGCTGTCAAAAATCAATTGATCATATACATATGAGTCTATTTCTGAACTCTTCTTTCTGTTCCATTGATCTATTTGTCTATCTTTACACTGATACCACTCTGTGTTAATGTATCTTCATAGTAAGTCTTAAAATCAGGCAGTGTAAGTCTTGTTATTATGCTCTTTTTTTTCCAATTTGTTAGGGCTATTCTAGATTCTCCATGTTGTTAACTGGATAAATTATAGAATCAGTCTTAGAATCCATCTAAAATTTAGAAAGATCTACTATGATCTTGACTGGGATGGCATTGACTATAGATAATTTTATACAGAACTGACATCTTAACAACTTTGAGTCTATTGATCCTTAAATCTCTCCATTTATTTATGTTTTATTTCTTTAAACAATGCTTTCTAGTTCTAGTATGCAGATCTTACACATCTTTTGTCAAATTCATTCCTAAGTAT